TGAAGGACTTGTGTGTGACTCTGTGTATTGTGTTCAACTGGCTCGGGACAGGACGCTTGTAAACACGACAGTGGATCTCTGCGGACTGCATAATAAGGCGGGGAAATGTCTCGCTATTGTGAGCGACCTTAGCTTCTTAAGAAAACGCGAGGTTTCATTCACGTAGCTCACATAGAATAGGGCCTTGTGAACCTTCAGATTTCATGGAAGTCGGGTACTGAGCAAGTTTGCGTCGCGCTAACGCCGTAGACCTATATTCGGGGGTGCCTAGTTCGAGCGTAGTCCCGGAAACCAGCGATCCTGTCAATTTTTATCTTTAGGAGTTCTGTACAAAAGCCGGGATAGCTCAGTCGGTATAGAGACTGGCTATAGACTGGACGGCCAAGGGGTCGGAGTTCGAGCCCCCGTGGGTACAAGAATTTTCTCTTCTCTACGTCGTCCGGACCTGCTCTGGGGCCCACCCAGCCTCCTATCCAAAGGGTACCGAGGGTTAAGTGGCCGGGTCATGAAGCTTACCATTCATCTCCTACTATTGCCGAGGTCAAGAAAGCGTGGGTCTATACATCCACTCCCCTTAGTCTTCATGGCGCAGTGTTTGATTGGTTAAGCGCAGGGACAGCTTTACCCTACCTTACGAATTCTGTATTGTGGGATATAGCTTTCCGTCCTTCCTCCTTATGCTGCTTTCTTACTTGGCTTGTCCTTCATCCCTGAATATTGAGGCGACCTGTTCCTCTGAAACGTCTGTTGACTTTCAGCGGACTACACGGCGTTATACCCCAGAAGATGGAAGTCTTCGTCACCAACTCCGTGAGAAACTCAATTCCTCTACAGTGGTCGTGGTTTTCCTCACTCCCAGACGAATACCAGGATAGTACCCGGATTCGGCCACAGTCGCTTCCTTCTAAATCCTTTTCCATTCGTTGTTCAGTGGTCATCACATAGAACAGGTTCTGTACACTTCTCTTCTAGAGATCCTGTGCTCGAATCGTGACGGAAACATGAATGAGGTTTGTCGTGGTCCGTTCAGGAAAAAGGCGGTGTAATGCTTCCAGTTTGCCACGACCAGTTCCTTCCAAATCCTTTCCAATTTATTATTCACCAGTCATTCTACATAACATGCTGGTGCGGCGGCAACGCTCAAGACTTGTATTTTGGAGGTATTCGGTTCGAATCTCGCTCTGGACTCGTGATTCTGCTAAACATAGAAAGGATAAAGCTGTCTGTAACAGGCCGTGGAGGTGAGAGACGTCGAGGCTCCCACATTTTCTCTAGACAGTCACCACACAGATGGCGGTAAGATTGTCAGCCTTACGCGCCGGCCGTCCTTTACCCACCAGGAAGATTCCTAGTACTCATTTCTGTTAGAGGCTGAGTCGACCCCATGGTCATAGAACGCCTGGAAGGATTAGGTAAATTGAAAAATCCAGTGACTTCATCGGGAATCGAACCTGCGACCTTCCGGCTTGTAACATAGTGCCTCAACCAACTACACTACCGCGTGCCCCCATCTGCCGCTACACCTATGCCGACATAATACTAATAGGCCACGACAGTTTCCTTCCAAATCCTTTAAAAATCATCTTTCACTGATCATCCTACCATCCGACGCTATAAGGGTCAACTGCTTGCAACGTCGTAGAATGAACCACAAAAAAGAAAACGATTATTATCTGTCATTAAACCGCACAATGCGACCCCGTAACGTGTAGGCCTATAAAGTAATAAGAGCGGCCGCTTGGCCGTACTGTTTTATGATTTCATTAATTTTTTTGCTGTGTTTTCGTCTGTGCTCCTGACCGCCTTTGTCACCTTGTGTGGCCGTCTGACATGCGGGCTGCATATCTCATTATTCAAAACCGACCCGGCATAAAATAATTCCCTCTTCACATAATTACCTGTCGCTTATCGTCATTGTTTTGTTTTCGGAATGAGCTGACTCTTATTTGGGCCCCACATCTTACCGTGTCTTACTTAATGTGCAACAGTTCCCTTCCGTTCCAAAGCGGTCACGTGCTTAATCAATTAAGAAGTCTCGAAGACAGACGCCTTACTGTTCCTGTCATACTTTGTCTTAAGAGCGCTTGGCCGGAGGTAAGTCAAAGAGAAGCAATTAACAAGATTGTGAGCAGTGTAGTCGACATATTTTAGTAAAACTCAGTATCAAATTTCATGAATATCCGTTCAACTGTTCCCGAGTTAGCATGTTGTAGACCAGTGGTTCTCAAACTTTTTCCATTCAGTCATCTCCTGTGCCCTGTTCCCCATAAAAAAGTATCGTTCAGAACAGCGATTTGCACAACCCACTAAGGAAGATAATAAAAATAAAATAAGATACCACATTTAGTAACTAAACCTAACTTCATGGAGCTGAGCCCTTCCTGAGAAGCCGCCAATTGTGCAGCTACTCAAGAACTTCCCAGAATTTTATGGAACCCGAACGTTCATTACTGTGTTCAGAACAGCCCTCCACTGGTCAATATCCTGAGCCAGATGAATCCAATCCATATCACCTCACCTTTCTCTCTAAGATCCATTTTAATATTGTTCACCCATCTACTTCTTAGTCTTCCTAGTGGTCTCTTTCCTTCTGGCTTTCCCACACATATCCTATATGCATTCATCTCCTCCCCCAATCCCGCTACATGCTCCGCCCATCTCATACTTCTTGACTTTATCATTCTAATTATACTTGGAGAAGAGTACAAGTTATGAAGCTCCTCATTATGCAGTTTTCTCAAACACCCTCAAGCTATGTTCCTCCCTTAATGTCAGAGACCAAGTTTCACACCCATGCAGAACCACATAGTAATTGCTTCACTCTTAGTAAACTCTTAATGCGATGGATGGTCGTGTTGAAGTGGTACCAGTTTCCCAATATCTGGCCTGAAGTCGCTTCGATCGTAAATAAGAGAAAAACGCGCTCGGAGGGGCCTACCACCAGCGCCCCCAGGGGGCGGCACAGCCCACTTTCGGGGCAACTGCTGTAGACAGACAGCATACAGCAAACGTCGCGACACTGTTACGTGCTTTTTGCAACTTCGTATCTAATTAAGCACCGCACTATGAAAGCACGTAGAGGAATGGACGTATAGCTTTATACTTCCTTAACTCCGATATAAATATTGCAGTGATTGGTCATCTTGACCCCCCACCCCCTACACGTTTGGTAGGAACCTGGACGGACCCCAGGGTCTCCTGCACCCGATGCTGTCCTCCAAAAAATAAACCCTTTTGCCTGAAGATAGAGGTAGGAAGTTGCTCCGAAACGCCGGTAACCGCCTGCAAGGGAAGTGTTAGTGCATGATTTCCGTATGTCACAGCTCCGCGGAAGGGAAGCAGCGGAGCAGTTACCCCCAAACAAACATGGTGACACAGCCCCCCCTGCGGGCTGGCCAGCTGCCTCTTCCTCGTGCATGCAAACCGAACATCCATCATCACCTACCGGCGACAAAGCTGCAGATCAGACACTAATCACACTACTCAGGGACCAAAATTAGTGTTCTTATCGTGTCTTTTGAATGAAGTCGGTGTAATGACTACGGTACTTACTGAACAACAGAGGAATCTGTATTCGATTCCCGGCAGGGCAACAGGGTTTTTATCTTCTCGAAAGCGTCCCGACCCGCTGTGGGACCCACCCAGCCTCCTATCCAGTCCGTACCGAGGGGAGGGTTTAAAGCGGCCGAGGAATGAAGTTGACTCACCTCCAGAATACGTGGAGCTATACCTCCCTTCCCTCTTAGACTTCATGCCATAGTGAATAAGCTAAGTGGTACTCTTCTCCAAGTGCAATTAGAATGATCAAGTTAAGGAGGATGAGATGGGTAGGGCATGTAGCACGAATAGGGTAGAAGAGGACTGCTGGTTAACACTCCACACCTGAGCTCATAGCACCATCTTCTCCGCTTCCCTTGCAGAGCCCGACTCTCGACTAACTGCTCACTTAGAACTCCGGAATTCGACTGCCGATTCTCAAGTCCAAGTCACATGGCGACTGACGGTCAGTCAGTCAGTAAGTCTTGGTATCGAGCCCAATGTGTGCTCATGACCAGATATTTATTACTGTTTGACAGTTACGGTTTTGTTTTTGTAGGGCGCCCTCTCTGACGAGAGGAAAATTCTGTCTTGTATATGCTGCTGGCACTTGCCAGCGCAGTCTTTCTCGGGTCCTATTCCATTGGGACTCACGACCATATTTTACTGCCTCAGATTTGAGACTTCCCTTTTCTTCGCCTCCCACGTCTCGCAGGGTCACGGTGGAGATATTCGACCCCGCCTCCACACGGGTTGCCTATTCTCAACGGAACTCTTCTTTATATCCATTTTGCACGGACCAAATGGAAAACATCGTTTCCGACCGTACCCCTATCGTTATAGGCGTGTTTACCTGTCCGTTGATTAGAAACGGGTTGCATAACCCCGTCATATTGTTGCGGGCGTTACCTAGCAGCGGCCGCCGTTTACAGAGTCACTGCTTAAGAACGAGTCTATGCGCCACGGTATTAATGAAGAAGCTAGGAAATGTATACATATGGTCGATTCCTTCTCTTTTGTTTGGAAAATCGTAACACGAAAGAAAGAGTATTGGGCTTTTGTGAACACATGAATGCTCTTTTGGGTTGGTTTAAATGGCAGGAAGTCAGTTGACCAACTTCCCACGAACGTACCTGAATGAATTATGTGACTTAGAGGTTAAATGTTATGTCCCTGGCCGTTTTTATTTTTCTTTTGTTAATCTCAGCGGGGTGAGACTCAGTCCACTTGGCACTGCGGCCTCTATTGGCGTACTGTACCTGCCCCAAATGATAGGTGAGGGTGATTGTGGAGTAGTCGGTGGAATGAAGATTGGCAGGGGATACCGAAGTACTCGGAGAAATCCTGCCCCATTGCCACTTTGTCCACCACAAATCCCACATGACGTGACCCGGTGGGATGCCTGAGCTATAGCACGGCCTGCTCGTACCGTTTGACAAACCAGACTTTTCTGTGTTCTGCAGGAGCGTTCGAGGACGAAGATGTGACTCACGTGGAGGGCGAGGTAAACCCAATCAGAGACATGGAGATTATCAACGAGGAGTTGCGACTCAAGGACGAGGAGTACCTGACTGCGCACCTGGAGAAGCTGGAGAGAACTGTTCTCCGTGGCGGAGATAAGAAACTGAAACCAGAATATGTGAGTTCCTTACACAGTCTCCTTTTGGGGGGGGGGTTCTTCACGATATTATCACTATCTAGATCATGTAGCGTCAAATGGTACAATGATCGACGAATTGGAAGGGATTTAGAAGGATGAGTTTATGGCCTAATTTGAGGTACTATCATGACATTTACCTGGAGAGACTATGAGTATCACGGAGAGGACAGGACAGTTTGTCTCCTTGCCAAGATTTTGTGCCTGCTGCATGCTGACTATGGAGCAGGAATGCCAAGCACTCAGCTGGACTCTATCGTAACTTATCATTCCATTTATATCTTTAAGTTCCGTTTTAATATCAACTCCTAGGTCTCTTGAGCCTCATGAATGCAGCGCACTATCTAACCGGTTCATACCCAAGTCAGTTCTATGCAGAACAGTACAGCTGTCGGATGGACGTTTCAGCAACAACTTTTCTCTCTTTTCAGTTTACTCTTCTTACCCTTCGATCTATCTGCGCCTTCTTCTTAATCTCTTCCTTTTGAATCATCTCTGTTTGATCATAATTATTCCTTATTTCCACGTTCTCCACCTTCCACTACCAGTTCTACTCATTTAGCTCCTTCCTCATCTCTCACCTCTTCCTTTTCATCCCTCCTTCATCTTCCACTTGATCCCCACGTCCCGATTTCTCGCAGTTACCCTAACCCACACAGTTCTGTGTTCAGGGGCGTGTGTGTCGTGTATGCCGTTGCTGGGCAGTGATCTCGAGCTAAGCAAATATTATAAGAGCCGTTTCTGAGTAACGGCTTCGCAAAGAAGCATATTCCCATGGCAACAGTTGAACTACAATAACGAGGAACAGTGTATTCTATGCGGTCCGAGGACAATTAGTGTAAGTTAGTCAGTGCAGTGCAGTTGAGCGAAGTGAAGTGGTTGATGGGTGAGTGAGCCAGTTCAGATGTGAGAAGCTGGTAGCTGAGGCACGGGGAATTTCGGGAACCCAGAGTAAGGGAGAACGTCCGCCGTTGGTAGCCGTTACCTGGCAACGACTAATGAAGACCCGCCATACAGAGAAGATTAAGTGCATGTTGTACTGAATTATAGAGTTGTGTGAATTAGCCATAGCGCTGCAGTTACTTGTAGATACGATTTGTAAGTGGTCAGTAAACCCAATTACCAATCCAAATCGCGTCCACACTCACTCCCTCACGTGACAATATTAATGTTAGCCTCACATGGACGCCTTTGACCCTGAAGTAGTTTCTTCTTCCCTATACATTTTCAGACAATTATCTTGATTCAGTTTCTCAGATCTCCCATGTGGTACACAAGATGAATTATAAAACTCCATTTTGTGTAATTTTCTCCATTCTCCTGTTGCTTTCTCGCACTCAGGTCCAGATATTCCCATTTTGAACAAATGACAGAATTGTGTTTAAATCTCAAAACTGAAATGTTTGAAGTATAGAACAGAAGGTCACCGGTCTTTGAATGAATTAAGGAAGGTCTCCCAGGTGCAACTCGTGGTCCTTGTGCCTGAAGTGGTTCACGATATTTGAGATAATGTTATTGATAACCGCGATGGGTGTCTTTGCTGACTGGTCACAATGTAATCTTAATAGAATCAGTGGAACTCCTCAAGCAGTGGGTGCGTCGGGCCCTCAGCAAGACGTCGTTCAGCATTCAGCATTGTGCAAGTCACTCTCAGCGGTAGGATACACACAATACAGCTGAGTCACACAGACCGAGAAAGCTTGCTTGGTATTGTCTCATTTCCTGCTCTTTATGTCTTCTGATTTTCAGACCAAGCGCCTTTCAAACACTGATTTGATTGATTGATTCTTGATATGTTTAACCCTTTAGAGCACATTGGTAGTTATATATACCATCTCCTTTAACATTCAAAACACGATGCATTTTATGTATAGATTATATTGATGTTCTTGTTATTAGTTTCACAATAAACAGCTATTATTTCCATAAACAGTATTAACTGATTGGCCCCTGCTATGGAGACATAATGCGTTTTCTGTGTGCGGGGAACAAGATCTTTTAAATATTTAATTTATTTATATGTTTCGAAGTTAGCGTTTAAAGTGTAGTGATTACTATTTATACCGTTGCTGTAACATTAAAATACTCTGCATTTTGCCCACACGGTACATTTATGTTCCGTGTGATTCTCACAATAAACAGCAGTGACTTCTCTGAACAACATTAACCGGCTGGGCTTTGTAATGGAGACGCAGTGTGTTTTCTGCACAGTAAACAGTGCTTCATTTAGTATGTACTTGATAGTCAAATCCCTACAATGACGCACTAGAATTGCAGTCTAGAATCTCCGCTAGAACACCTGCAAAGATGAGTTTTTCGTGCTTTGCCTCAGTCCTTCCAGGCAAATACATGGTTAGTACTTAGATTATGCCATAGTCGCTTCCTTCCAAATCCGTTCCAGTGCATCAGTCATCCTATCATCTGAGTTTATGTAGTCTAGACACTGACATAATCGTTAAATAAGCAACAACAAAATTGGTGGCCCTGTATAGTATTTTCAAAACGTGTCCCTCCTGAACTGTGAAGTTTAGAAGTTTTACCTGTGCTTCATTGTATGTACAGTGAAGCCCGGATAGCTACTGGCTACAGGCTGGAAGTCGAGGTTCGATTCCCAGGAGGGGCAAGAGATTTTTCTTTTTATACAGCATCCAGACCGGCTCTGGGGCCCACCCAGCCTCATATCCAATGGGTACGGGGGGCTCTTTCCTCGGGGGTGAAGCTGACTACCCTCCTCCATCCACTGCCGACGTCAAGAATGGTGGAGCTATACCACCACTCCCCTATGCAGTAAGATCATCAGAGCTTCGTAAGGACTTGTCATATCTTGGAAGTTCTGAATCCTTTTGTGTATGTGATCCTAGCTAACTGCAGCCCTTCGTGAGAGGTCGTGTGGCACGAGCCTAGCTGTGGATCCTGGGGTCCAGTGCCACGCCCACACCACTTTGCCACTTATTGATACATGTCGTAAGAAATGCAGTCAGTGCCCCCCTGCCATGTTGAAACCCCCATTTTGTCACAGCATATTATTCAGTGTTATTGTGGCCTGCCTCTCTGTCCAGGTATCTGCCTCGTTCTCAAGAGAGCCAGTACTGTTCTCTCTCCTAATCACAGTTCACAGTTGAGTAAGGTAAAACTGTCGCTGTCCTTAACTAATTAAGCACTACGCCATGAAGACGTATGGGCGAGTGAATGTATAGATCCATATTTTCTTGACCTCGACACTAACTGTATTATTATTTTTTATTGATAGTGGGGTGGGACTAAGTACCTTGTACTGCAGCTAGATGATAGGTGAGGGTGGTTGTGGAGCAATTGGTGGAATAAAAATTGGCAGGGAAAACCGAAGTACTCTGAGAAAACCTGCCCCAGAGCCACTTTGTCCACCACAAATCCCACTTGACCAGACCCAGGATCGAACCCAGACCGCCGCGGTGGGAAGCCAGCGACTAACCGCTTGAACTATGTCGCGGTCGACCCTAACTGTAAGGGAGTAGTCAGCTACACTCCCCGGCTGCTTTACTCACAAGGAAAAAAGCCATCGGTACCCATTGGCTAGGAAGTTGGGTGGACCCCAGAGCCCGTCTGGGCTACTTGACCCTACCGGGACTCTCCTCGGGCGGCCGGCACATAGCCAGTCGCTATACCGAGTATGCCACCCCGGCTCGTTTTTGCGGTTGAGTACATACTTTAGAAGGCACGTGACATTTAGGAGCAAGAGGACGTTCAGACTGTGTTGAGGGCAGATGGAGAGACTGAAGCCACACAAGAACATATCCGAGATTGGCTTCAGCTGGATGAAGGAGACCCTGGATTTCAGCTTCTGACAGAGGAAGAAATTGCTGCAGTGATGTTTTTTTATCAGCACTGCCTGTATCATCAAATTTTCCATTTGTTTGTTTCTCTAAGGTTTTGTTTGTCTTTTAGGCCTGTCTTTTGCTTCATTAACCCTAATAATCGCTTAATCCGGATGACGCATCGCCCCCAATTAATCCAGATGAGTGAGGGTTTATTGACTCGTAATTAATATGCGGGCTCTCCATAGAGTATTGTCCGGTTTGATTGAAATCTTTCTGTACTTGGAAACTCGATGTAACGGTGAGATGGAGTACACAATTTCTGGTCGCCACAGCGACGGAATGTCGACCATTGACAGGTTACTTGAACGTTAAGTTAACGGACTATTTATGCGCGTTATTCTTGTGAGGTGACGTTAAACTTCGGCCTCGACGTATCGCTCGATAACAAGTTTTACTGGAAAGGAATACGAGAGAAAGGGAGGGAAGTTAACATCACGGCAGCTTGTACAGCGAATGATGAATATCTTCCCTTTTAATTATCTCTGTCGGTTACTGAGGACGCCCGAAATGTAACATGAGATTTACAGCACACGTTAATGTAAAGCATTCTTAACCGTGGTACTGTGTGGAAGTGAATGTTAGCTTCACTCTCGACCTGCTTTATCCCGCGGGAAAGAGCCTTTGGTACCTTTGAATAAGGTGGGTGGGACTTGAAGCCGACTAGGAAAGCGGCAGGGAGGGAAAAATCTCGTACCCCTGCCGGAGTTCGAAGCGTGTTAGTCCGAACTCTTGCCAGTATGTACGGTAGCCACGGCTGTTAAGGCGATGTGTAAGTATCGCGGTAGAGTTCATGGGGTGCGTTTCGAATTCTCAGTAATGTGAGACAGTGCTGTGACTGTGGACATTGTGTACATCGAGATTCTGTCGGATTTGCGCTTTCTGTGCACCATCCCATACTATGTAAACGTTGTTTTTCGAATGCCGTCTGTCTGTCTGTCTTATTTATTTAAGGACGTTCACCTGGCTTGCACCACGTAGCTGAGCCCTTCGAAAGCTAATAGTTGTTTAGCAACTCAAATTCCCAACATTGTGTGGAACCCGAAGGTTCACGAGAACCGCCACTGGTCTCTGCCCACATCCAGGCGAATCCTATCTACATCCTCCAACCTTTTTTCTTTTGAGGTCCAATTTAATATTGTTCTTCCATCTACGCTTAAGTCTTCCCATCGCAGGTTTTCCAACAAAAATGTTTGTATACACTCGTGAAATAGACCAAGAATTAATAAGTACTTTTCAAAAATATTTATTTTTTTCTATAATAAGGGGCTTCATAACTTGTACTCTTCGCCAAGTGTATTTAGAATGATCAAGTCAAGGAGGATGAGATTGGCAGGACATGTAGCAAGAGGGGTGAGACGAGGAATACATACAGGATATTGGTGGGAAAGCCAGAAGGAAAGAGACCACTAGGAAGACCAAGACGTAGGTGGGTGGATAATAATAAAATGGATCTTAGAGAGAAAGGATGGGATGGTATGGACTGGATAGATCTGGCTCAGGATAGGGACCAGTGGAGGACTCTTGTGAACACGGTAATGAACCTTCAGGTTCCATAAAATGCTGGGAAGTTCTTGAGTAGCTGCACAAGTGGTGGCTTCTCGAGAAGGGCTCACCTCAATGAGTGAGTGACAATTGCTTCTTTTTCAGGATATTCTCTGCAAGATCAAGACACTTCTAGTGGATGAGAAGCAGCACATCAGATTCGGCGATTGGAACGCCAATGACGTAAGTAGGCTTACCTCAACTTATTAATTACAGAGAATATATCTGCGTGGCATCTGATGGACGGGTTGCAGAATTGTATTTTGGTTGTGTTGTAAACTTCCAGATTTGTTTATCCCAATTTAATGTAGTGTTAGAAACTCGCACTAGACGGTGGCTTATCATCTGAGTCTCGGGTGAGTTCATGTGAGATTCACGGTGGGCAAATGGCACTGGAGCAGTCGAGTTCCTTGAGGTTTGCCCCGCTTGTCATCATTGCAACCTGGCTCCCTGCACCCCATCGAGATGTGCAGTAGCCCTGATCAGGCAGTACATTATCACATTCTCGGGCTTTAAGTTTTAGGCTTTACCTCTGATGTGACAGTCAGCTGATGATAGAGGAAGTTGGTGTTGGATAATTTCTTGCTGTGTAAATTTTAGCTTCGGATATTTTGTTATTTCAAGTAAAGGAGGATGAGATTGGCAGGTAATGTAGCACGAATGTTGGAGAAGAGGAATTCATATAGGATACTGGTGGGAAAGCCAGAAGGAAAGAGACCACTAGGGAGACCAAGACGTAGGTGGGTGGACAGTATTACACTGGATCTTGGAACGATAGGGTGGGATGGTATGGATTGGATTGATCTGGCTCAGGATAGGGATCAGTGGAGGGCTTATGTGAACACAGTAATGAACCTTCGGGTTCCATAAAATGCTGGGATGTTCTTGAGTAGCTGCACAATTGATGGGTTCTCAAGGAGGGCTCGGCTTGTACTTCCAAGTGTGATTTCAGTGTTAACTATTCGAATAGTTTGGAGACACCGTTCATCTGCTTAGAATACAAAACTATAACTTTACCTGTTGTTTTGTATAATCGTGAAACTTGGTCTTTCCCCCTGAAGTAAGAACATAGATTGCCATAGAACGCAGTGCTGAGAAGAATGTTCTCGTATAATAGTTTTTTCGCAAAAAAAAAAACGAAATAAAATAACCGTAGTAATAGATCTGTACTCCTCACCAAATAGACCTGTTAATAGAATGATCAGTTGAAGGAAAATTATGGGTGAGTCATGTAGAATGCAGAGAACAAAGAGAAGATCAAATGTGCAAAGTTTTGGAGGAAAACGTGACGGAAAAATACCAGTCAGAATACCTAGACATAGATGACAGGATAATATTAGAATTGATCTTAAAGAAACAGGACGGGAGACTGGATATTTCTTGCTCAGGATAGGAACCTGTGGCTAGCTTCTGTGAACCTTCCTGTCCCATAAACTTGGATTCACTTGACTGGTTGAGCAACTGTTATCTTGTAAAGAACCTTCGTGGAGTTGATTAACAAAGACACTTCTGTAATCTGTGCTATCAAATTAAGGCTTGTAGTTAAAAGATAAAAGTTGTCCCTGCACTTAGTTATTTAATCACCAAGCCATGAAGCAGTATGGGAGAATGGAGCTATAGATCCATATATTCTTGCTAATAGCTGGAGATCCGCTTCACGCCCTGGCTGCTTAACCCCCAGAGAAAGAACACCCAATAACTGAGGGAAAGGATGCAGGCTCGGCCCCATAACTGGTCTTGACGTTATGGAGAACTTGAAAATTTCCTGTCCCTGTTGGAAATCGAACCCCGATTCGTCGGCCATCCAGCCTGTAACCTAGTCACTACAGCAACTGAGCTATCACGGCTCCATGCTTTTATGATTTCTGGCCCAACTCCTTGTTATACTAATTGTTATTGAATGCGTGGATCTGTTGTTGCGTTGAATGCCAGCTGGGGACGTGTGGCTTCTCTCAGCAGGTGGCACTCACAGCAAGACGCCTAACAAGACGCCATGTCGTGTTACGATGACGCTATCTTACCCCCAGCCACATTCAGCCTGTCTCGAATATTGCTAAGTAACGGTCTAATGGTGAATGGCCGGTTATTGATACACCATTGATATTAACTCTAATGGAAGTCTGAACTATTATTCGGGAAGAATTTTATAGTACGTAGGTTGGCAAGGCTTTGTGGCGCATGCGTCAGAATGTGGTCTCAGGCTTTATTTATCTGTCGTTCCAATCGACATCTCGTCACAACAGTCTCTGTTCATGAGCGCCAAAACAAAAGTCTGTTAATGTGAACTATGGGAACATATTGTCACGTATAAGGGGTTAGCGTGACTAATAATAATGGGTTTTAGATTTGATGATTGCGTTTATTGGCACTTTTTTACAGTTACAATCAATTATAACAGCTCACAATCAATCTTCACCGCCGAGGCTTCTCTTCATTCTGCTTCTCGTTCTATGACTGTCTCCAAACCAAATCCAAGTCAAAGTCACATTGCGACTAACGTTCAGTCAGTCAGTAAGTCTTGTGTCGAGCCCCAGCTGGGGCTCATGACCAGATATTTATTACTGTTTGGCATTTACGGTCTTGTTATTGTGGGGCGCCCTCTCTGACGAGAGGACGGGTATGCCTTTTGTACTCGTATATGCTGCTGGCCCTTGCCAGTGCAGTGTTTTACGGGTCTGAGTCCCTTGGAACTCGCGACCATATTTTACTGTCTCAGCTTTGAGACTTCCCTTTTCGTCGCTTCCTACGACTCGCAGGGTCACGGTGGAGGTATTCGACTGCAGAGAGAGAGAGAGAGAGAGTTACTTTACGACTGGCGGTTTACCGCCAATCAGTTCGTCTTGGCGTCAGCCCCTTGAGGATCACGACCAGAGATTGTTTTTTCCAAATGAACTCTCGCGGTAATTGTCCTTATGTAACATCCTCTCTGACGAGAAGATTGGTCTGTCTCTTATGAATACACTCGACCTTTCGTCAAATGTATATTTCGCACATATAATGTTATCGAAAACTCTTTTTTTGCTTTACACTGGTCTCCAAGTCCAAGTCGAAGGGTTTAGTTTCACCCGCTGCTATGCAACGAATCTCTTGTTGCCGCGGGAACACATTTTTACTGCCTCAAACAATTCGTTGCTTAGATATTGTTAGCCCAGTGTTAGGTTCTCGTGTTCTTCAAGAGGTTTCCTAGGTAGCGTGCTTTCTCATCCGTTGCGCAGTGATGGATGTCTTATAGTCCGGCTTTCAGGCAGCACGTCACAATACTCTTCAACCTTATGGCTGACAGAACCTCGAAGCTCATATGACGCATACTCGGTGACCTGTATCCCTTTGCTATCCCGTGAGACCATGCTTGCTATTATTCGGGCACTGTAACTATATTAAGTACAATTATAAGCTATAATCATGGCATTACAATCATTTACTGTTATAGGGNCTGTCAGTACAGCCCAGGTATTTTACATGATTGACGAAGGGGATATTCTGCCCATTCAATGTAAGATGAGTCTGAGGGGGCCTAAGTCTACCAGAGAAGTAGATACAAGACAAGAAAGCACGGACACCAAAAGAAAGAGAGATGTTCTGAAGCAGATGCGTTTTCATCTCAACGACGAAAATGAAACAGCATTGTCGTAGCAATTTCAACAAGTGAACCGTTGCCTGAGGATGGCCGAGTAAGGCTGAAGCATGTAGAAGTTGATTGTGATTTTAATGTTATTTTAAATTAAGAAGAAACTGTAAACAAAGTTGTATAAAATTATTGCCAATCATGTTACGAACCCTAAAGTTCATTACCGTGTTCACAAGAGCCCTTCACTGGTCCCTATCCTGAAGTAGATCGATTCAGTCCATGCCACCCCATCATATCTCTCTAAGATCTGTGTTAATGCTATCCTCCCACCTACATCTAGGTCTTCTTAGTGGTCTTTTTCCTCGTTGCTTTCCCATCAGAATCTTAAATATATTCCTCCCGTCCCTCATGCATGCCGCCACGTTACAGACAGTAAATGTCGTGATGTCAGACATGAACAGTTTTACATTGGGCCACGTGGGCCTGTAGGAAGGCAACCTGACGACGTGAATCGATAAGGAGCCGAGATGGGCATGGCGTCTCTGTGTAGTGCGCGCATAGTTCGTCGCGGCGGTTGCGTCACTACGTCCTTCTCTGCCCATGATGTTCATTTGGGGGGGGGGGAAAGGGGCTTATTTTAGGGCGCTGTTTAAACTATGTATATTATGGATCTTGAGGAAATACGAGTATGATGTAAGGGGATTGCCCGGATTCATTGGCGCCCTCTTGTGAACACGCTAATGGAACTTCGGGTTCCATGATATCTGGGAAATTCTTCAGTAATGAGAGACTGTTGACTTCTCAAGTAGGGCTGTGCACCGTGGCGTTAGTTGGGTCAGGGGTATCGAGTCAATGGCGAGACTGATTGTTGGGTGGCTGGATGGACTGACTCATTGATTGATTGATTGATTGATTGATGCATGACTGGATGTACGGATTGATTGATGGATTGTTATGTTGATAGTTGATTGGTTGATTGCTGGATAAACTGACTGATTGATGGATGACTGGATGGACAGATTGATTAATCGATTGTTGGGTTGGTGGTTAGATTGGTTGATTTGTGGATGGATTGACAGATTGATTGATTGGTGGGTGGCTGGTTGGATTTGTGAATGGATGGATTCACGGACGGACTGATGGATGAACACATACATAAACCTAATGCAGAATTATGTTTTTTAAACGAGAGCTGAATGCTGGGGATGTCAGTAACACTCCGACGCTCTAGATGTATGATGTATGAAACACCGGATAGTGCCAATTCATCTGTTGTAGGAAACTTGTGATTTTAGTCTACTTTCCTTATTTTCAAAAAATGAAAGGCTTATGAAATCACCTTGCTGTCTGTGTTTCCTTCTGTGTCTGTTGTCCCTGTACTAATTTAGTTAAGCAGTACGCCACGAAGACGTATGGGGAGTGGAGGTATAGCTCCACCATTCTTCACCTCGGCATTAGATGTTGAGTGGTTAGCTTCACGCCCCTGCCGCCTTACCCACAGGAGCCCTCGTTATCCATTCGATAGGAGGCTGAGTGGGCCTCAGACCCGGTCTGGACGCTGTTGAAAGAAAAATCTTTCACTGTCGGAAATCGAACCCAGGACCTCCAGCCCGTATCCCGTCGCTATACCGAGCTATCCAGACATCCGTCTGTGTGTCCCCCCAAATTCTTTAAGCTTTTGAGGCGTATGAGGTCGCTTTACTGTCTATGTCTGCATGTCCCCCTTATTTTTTTTCTTTCGTTTTCTGTGCACTTCATGTCGTATCAAAGTTAGTGGGCGATTCGTTCTTCGCAGAACTTCTTGTTTTAATTGTGTGTTATTGGTTACTCATCTAATGTTAATTTGATCAAACCGAAATTTTCGGCGTAATAATGTACCGGTCAGGTCAGACATTACAACTGTTTTGTGTCGTGTAACGGACGGATACGTACTTTGTTGGGTGTATACGTGGGAGGGGTGACTGGGTGCATGGCCATATATATGACATACGGAATGTCTGATATTAAGAAACTGAATGCAATAAACCCCTAATCCGGAGAAATTTGGGGAAGGTCTTCCGGGTTAAGCCAGAATCCAGATTAGTGCAGCAAAAGGTAGCCCTAAAAGAAAGAAAAAAACTTAGAACACAAATAAATATAATGATATAAATAGTGCTGATGGAAATAAATAAAAAATATCACTGTAGAGCCTTTATTTAAAAACTATAAAAATACAGTACATTTATTCAGCGACAGAAGACTCAGAAGCTGTACTTGTTTTTGAACGTAATAATACAGGTTTGTAGAAACTGTCAAGTTTTGTCTCAACAGACAAGTGACTCATCTGCCTTCCTAAATGCCACGCGACTTTCTTAAGTATGTACCCAACTGTGAACAGCATTTTTTCATAGTTCAACCTGGATTATCCCACATTCGGATTTAGTGTAACCGGATTAGTACCCTTTGCAGACTCAGCGAGTGTTCCTGAACAGATGAGGGTGTGATCACTGTTGACGGATCCCCATTATCTCACCTTCCTTCACTTGCGTCAGTTTGTCTCGAAATAATTGCCATACAAGCGGTGGCCTGCGGCACTTTAATTGGGTCATGAAGAGATAATGAGTTGTCTTGTGCTCCCTCGAAACATGTCTATTCAGCGTTGTGCCTATTGATCGCGGCAAGGAGGGCCGAAATGACCCAAGCCTTTCATCGAAGGCTATAAATAATGTTGAAACCAGTTTCACCATTCATTCTTGTTGTCTGTCCGTATTTGGGGTTGTTAATGCTGGTTAGAACGAATATCATATCTGACTTGCCCTTCCGAAACCCTGGGTTCTGTTCTCAGATAAGTCTTTCGTGGAAAGTTTAACGGTACTTTGTCACGAGTCGCACAAGTAATTTTGAAGCTTCATCGCCATAAGTGCTAACTGTAAAAGTTTATTTGTAAAAACAAAACCCAAAGTCCAATCTTAGAAGTTTCTGCAGTGCTCTTAATGTTTTTTATTCTTCTATTAATCTCTGTTTTCAGGTTATAAATGTATTTAGTTTCTTTGGACGCCCGCACTGGGCCCTCCACAAAACAAAATAGAATTTACAGATTTTATTGAGCCATTTGCTTCTCTAAAATCACGAAAGTTCACGTTTTTAATTATTGTAAGAAATAAGAGCGACAACAACAACAACAATTGTCTTATCTTAAATTTGTCGGTACTGAGAGGGGCCTCCACTTTTTGATTGCGCCCGTCTACCCTTGTGCCCAAAGCCACTTCTCACCTGTTCGTGCATGTAGCGAAATCCTACTTAAGAAACCGGTAGTAAGTGCTCCGGCAAAAATATTGCGCCTTTTACACAACCCGGAAGTTCACTCACAGAATCCTGTCTGACTCCTGACCGAGGCAAATGGGTCCAGTCCACACCCTCACACCCCTTTTTTTTTAAGATTCATTTTAACATTATCCTCCCATCTACATATCCGAAGTCATACACGTATTTTCCCTTCAAACTTTACAACTACAACTGTGCATGAATTTGCTAATTTCCCATATGCGTCCTACATGCCCATCCGCGTCATCCTCCTTTGTTTGAACAACCTATGGCGAAGAGTACAAAAAATGAATCTCCTTATTGTGTAATTTTCTCCATCGTATTAATTCCCTCGTAGTTTGAAATATTCACCGATTTTCTCGCGCCCGGAAATACTGTATATTGATGTTGGTTTTCCTCAGTCGCTGCAGAAAGATATGTCCGATATTAGACCACGACCTTTTCCTCTCCAATTCGTTATTCACCAATCATCCCATATTCGACGGTGTGTACTTAGAACTACTCACGTCGTCATTAGATAGAGCTTAAGTAAGTTCTCAGATCTTGTTACCAAACATCAGTGTTCCCTTCCTCTCCTTTTAAGGAAACGACTACATTTCAGTCCCCCCTATATGGCCATTATACACTGTGAGAGAGAGAGAAGTGGTGGTGGTAGTGAGAGACACTACATTGGGGTGGGGGGGAAGAAACTATATCTCCGATTTTGAAGATGGCCTTTATTTATCCTTCGAAGCAGCAAGTGCATCTAGTTTGTACCTCACAGAAAACGCTTCGCTTCCATAACAAAAGTCCATCCGCACAATCTGGGCAAAATGCATAGTTTTACAGGGTGGGGCGCAGAAACTTCCTTTTTTTGAAGGCGAATAAAAGAAAAATTATTGTTGATAGACAAAATTTATGTTTAGCTAATGAAAGAACATACTTTAAAGTTTTAAATCATGTAGTTTTAAACAAAATATCTTGAAGGTGGTGGCCACTGCTCTCTATGCACTGATGCAACCGTTTTCTGAAGTTCTCTGCACGTTCCAACATGTGCACCGGAATTTGGGCTACTTCCTGCCGAATAACATTCTTCAGCTGAAGCAGATTTGTGGGGCGATGTTTAAAAACCTGTACCTTGAGGTATCCCCATAAAAAAATCACAGGGCGTTAGATCAGGTGAGTGCGCTGCCCAAGGGATGTCGCCTCGAAGCAAGATGAGCCGTCCGGGGAACTTTGCCCTCAAAACTGTCATCGAAACTCGGGCTGTGTGGGCCGTGGCACCATCCTGTTGGAACCAGACATTTCCTAGATGCATTTCTTCAAGAGCTGGTTCGAAAAAGATCTCAAAATCGACTGTCGAACTGCCTCCACATTTTCTGGCGTCGTAACGGTCCGTTGTCGTCCTGATGATTTTTTCACCACACTCCCGGTTGTCCTAAAGTTCTCTACCCATAAAACAAACGATTTCCGGTCGGGAACCGGACCTCTGGGCTTAATTCCGAAGTGAGTACGGAAAGCACGCTGCACCACCACGAAGGAATGGTTGTTCGAAAAATAGGCTTCGACAGCAAACGCACGCTGCTCACTTGTCCACTTCATGTTTCCTACTGAGGAGTATTAGACAGAAACTTCTGCGACTGCTACGTTCACCAAGCCTATCCCCACTTTTCTACGACCTCCCCTCCCTTCACAATGCGTCTTCACAAAAAGGAAGTTTCTGGCCTCCACCCTGTATATTGTTAAAGCAGGTGGCGCATATAGTTACCGCTGTGCTTTATCACGCTAAAGACTGAATTTCTGTTAAATATTATATAAGAATACAGTTCATACCTCACAGAAAAAACTACGTCACCGCTGCAGAGCCCAACCGGTTAATGCTGTTTAGAGAAATAATCGCTGTTTATTGTGAGAACCATACGGAACACACAAATACACTTTTTGGACAGAATACAGAGTTAATTTCGTACCTAACAGGAAACACATTACGTCTCCGCTACAAAGCCCACCGGTTAATGCTGTTTAGGGAAATAACCACTGTTTATTGTGAGAACCATACGGAACACATAAATACACTGTGTGGGCAGAATGCAGAGTTCAGTTCGTACCTCACAGGAAACACATTACGTGTCCACTACAAAGCCCAAACTGTTAATGATGTTTAAGGAAATAATCGCTGTTTATTGTGAGAACCGTACGGAACACACAAATACACTGTGTGGGCAGAATGCGGAGTTCAGTCCGTACCTCACAGGAAACACATTACGTCTCCGCTACAAAGCCCAACCGGTTAATGCTGTTTAGGGAAATAATCGCCGTTTATTGTGAGAACAGAACAGAATGCAGAGTTCGAGTATGTTAATGCTGGTGGTATATACCAGTGGGCTTTCAGTGGTTAATGGACTAATCATGCTCTTGTTAAAATTGTATTTGAGAAATTTGGTCATAGTATTGTGTGTCTAAAACATCTTTGAGTTTGCGTCGTCATTATACAGTGACATATATCGTTACGTCATAATTACAAAGATACTAGATCTTGTCAGCACGCGATGGGAACCACAATGAGCACACAGGAGATCTCGCAGAAGACACAGGACTCTTCTGCCATAAAGTTTTGCCTGGTCAAGTTGCGACGTGCCCCTCACAGATGTTTTAGACAGAGTTTCCTGTGTTGCAGATCGAAGTGCTCAACAAACACTTATTTATTACATCGAAACCCGTTATTTACCTGGTCAATCTCTCGGAGAAGGATTACATCAAGAAAAAGAACAAATGGTAAGTTTATATAATGTTAGTATATTGTAAGAGATAGCCCACTTTGGTCAGTGTTGGAACACAGCACTTGAAAGCGCTAGGATCAAATTGTCTGGCGTATGGAAGGGCAAAGCGCCCGCAATCATGCAAGATATTGTATCGAGATGACAGAGAGCGCGCCCATATTGCAAGACTCATCGTCACTAATGACGGACCTGCATATTGAGAATGCCCCGTCACACGATACAGCGATAAAGCCGGCTCGCAAAGTCTCGGGTTCATATCTTGACAGAAGCATGCTTTTCTCGTCCCTGACAGATTCCTACTCAACAACATAGTCGCATCGTGTTATGATCGCTTCTTTCTTTTGTTTACGATTTTTTGTATCTCTTTAGTTCATGATATGTAATCAAGCAACACATTATCATATCCTTGGTGTTTGAAGTTTGATCTCTGCCCCGACACTCGGCTGGTAACAGAGTAATGATGTTAGTTATTGTTATGACGTCATACACCAGCCTCTCCCACAGCTTGACCGACATTTATTTGAAAGTGCAGGACTTGGTAACAAAGTATATTGTTATTCAATCTTAAGTTAAGTCTAAGTGTTTCTGGTTTGTTACAGTAATCATTACTGTCGTTGTGGTCATTTTGCATCGTTTTGAGTTGTTACAAACACAAAGTTTCCGTCATGAAGTAAACGGAAGGAAATGTTCCCCCTTAGGTGGATTTGTTGCATAGGAATAGGGTGTCACTGCACCAGCCCTTTCAAACGGACCCATCTCATTACTGTCCTTTCCCCCTTAACACCTGATGATGAAGCAGATAAAGTTTCCGAAACGTTAAGTTTGAGATTTCATGACGATTGACACGGTCAAAAATCGTAATCATGTGCGCTAAACGAACTGAAGTTAACAATTTACGTTCATCGACGATCCTACCTTATCAGCGCAATTATTCTCTTAACACATATTTACCACGTAGGCCTATCTCTAACTTTGAGCAGGCAATCTGCCAGTCTCTTAAGAGTTTTTCTGAAGTATCGGTGCCTGAAGTTTAACTCAGACCAAGCGGTACGTGAAGTTTCACTTAGAGACCGAGCGGTGCGTGAAGTTCCACGCAGAGACCGAGCGGTGCGTGAAGTTCCACTCAGAGACCGAGCGGTGCGTGAAGTTCCACTCAGAGACCGAGCGGTGCGTGAAGTTCCACTCAGAGACCGAGCGGTGCGTGAAGTTCCACTCAGAGACCGAGCGGTGCGTGAAGTTCCACTCAGAGACCGAGCGGTGCGTGAAGTTCCACTCAGAGACCGAGCGGTGCGTGAAGTTCCACTCAGAGACCGAGCGGTGCGTGAAGTTCCACTCAGAGACCGAGCGGTGCGTGAAGTTCCACTCAGAGACCGAGCGGTGCGTGAAGTTCCACTCAGAGACCGAGCGGTGCGTGAAGTTCCACTCAGAGACCGAGCGGTGCGTGAAGTTCCACTCAGAGACCGAGCGGTGCGTGAAGTTCCACTCAGAGACCGAGCGGTGCGTGAAGTTCCACTCAGAGACCGAGCGGTGCGTGAAGTTCCACTCAGAGACCGAGCGGTGCGTGAAGTTCCACTCAGAGACCGAGCGGTGCGTGAAGTTCCACTCAGAGACCGAGCGGTGCGTGAAGTTCCACTCAGAGACCGAGCGGTGCGTGAAGTTCCACGCAGAGACCGAGCGGTGCGTGAAGTTTCACTCAGAGACCGAGCGGTGCGTGAAGTTTCAGTCAGAAACCAAGGATATGTGAAGTTCCACGCAAGAGGTACGTGAAGTTTCACTCAGAGACCAAGGGGTACTTGGAGTTTTACTCTGAGACAGAAAATATATTTTCATGAGTGCCGCGGGGCCCAGAACGAAGAATGACTGTGCTGGCAAATCCAACAGCAATTTACCCGACCCGCCGACCGACCAAGAAAGATGTCTGCTGTAGGGGTTCAGAACCTCTGATATAAATGAATAGGAAACCGATCGTTTAATGAGAGAAGACTTGTTAACTGATGATTAGAGTTTCACTGTAAGGAGTTGCTGAATGGTTAGGTATTAACAGATCCGCCGCCCTTCACATATCCACTTTGAATGGAGGATAGAGATATTGTCTGCCTGTGCAGTTATTAATTTGATGAGTATCCATTCATCTGCTCGTGTTGAAAATGCGTTCCGAAACTGGACAATAGATATCGAAAACCTAACTTAAGCAGAGGCGAGTGCTTGTCTAGTTGCAGTGTTAACACTTTGAAGCGTGACTTTCATCTCTTCCTACAACTTCAGTGCGTATTTCACAGGAAACATTACATCTGCGCTACAAAGCCCAACCGGCTAATGTTGTTTATGGGAATTAATCGCTGTTTATTGTGAGAACCATACAGAACACATAAATACACTGCGTGGGCAGAATGCAGAGTTCAGTTCGTACCTCACAGGAAACACATTACGTCTCCGCTACAAAGCCCAACCGGTTAATGCTGTTTAAGGAAGCAATCGCTGTTGTGAAAACCATACGGAACACATAAATACACTGTGTGGGAAAAATACAGATTAATTAAATGTTAAAGCAGGTGGTACATATAGTTACCAATGGCATTTTAGGAGTTCATACCTGGACTTGTCTATTTCCACGGCTACGGTAAAACTCCCACTACTTTCTTAACCGAACTGTAGAAACCAATTTTCCTTATTACGCTGACATGAAAACAGGTAAATATAGAATGTATTGATACATATAGAAAAGGAGCTGACTCTTGTTGACACACAGATCAATTATAAGTTGTTTGTCCGCCTTGTAACATGCATATATTAACTGTATGTGATGTAAATTCGACGGATACTAAGGGATTTTTAGTATTAGATACAGACTGTAGACCAGAACTCAAGTAAACGCCATAGTTCTGAATTACGACGATGTCCGGTTCAGAAACAGGTAAACGCTCAACTTCAATTTTTCACAAATATTATATATGTTTAATATATTTTGATAAATGGAAGTAGATCCTTTAGATAGTTCTGCCTTCCTTCTTGGTAAAGGGCTGCCGGACGGCGCGTATGGCTAACAATCTCACAGCCATCTGTGAGCCGATTGTCTATAAAATGTGGGAGCCTCGACGTCTCTCAACCCTATGGGCCTCCACGGCCTGTTACAGATGTAGCTTAACCCTATTTTACTTTTTATTAAACATTTAATCTGAACACTAGAAAGCGTCGTTAAAGAAATCAAGATGTTTCGTCGTCACGCTACTGTTAAGTATCAGTTCTCTGCATGGTTGGAGTAACTGGCAACCAGACAGACGCAGGAAAATCCATAATAGCGATTTATGAATTCGCCCTTGGAGTCAGTCTTCTGTATGTGAAACTTTTGCTGTTTGTTCTGTGTTCTGTTTAGGTTGATCAAAATCAAGGAGTGGGTAGACAAGAACGACCCAGGAGCGGTGATCGTCCCCTTCTCAGGCGCCTTCGAGACCAAGTTGCTCGAATTGAACGACGAAGAGCGGAAGCATTATATGGAGGAGGTCAAGGCCACAAGGTGAGTGAGTGAGTGAGCCACCGTGGCTATCTTGCCAGGTTTTTCATTTGCAGTCTCAAAAAGGAAAGGGGGAGGTTATAAGGAGTAACGGAAGTGGTAGTGGGACGCACTACACTTTTGGAGCGAAAACTTTTCGACTCTGCCGGTTTCCTGACAGTTCCCTCTCGTCCTTAGGTAATTTTTCTTGCGATTTATTTAATGATGCTGCCGCTATGTGAAGTCCAGAACCTTTTGTCTTCTCGTCTGCAGTCTAAAAACATAAAAATTAGGATGTACGAAACTGTAATTTTGCCTGTGGTTCTGCTTGTGATACTTGGTCTCTGACATTAGACTGAGGGTGTTTACAGGCTGCTGAGATGGAATGAGGCGACAGGAGGTTGGAGAAGACTGCATAGTGAGGATCTTCATAACTTGTACTCTTCTCCAAGTACAATTAGCATGATCAAGTTATGGAGAATGAGATGGTCAGGGCATTTAGCACGAATTGAGAAGAAAACTGTATATAGGGTATTGGTAGGAAAGCCAGAAGGAATGAAGCCACTAGGAAGGCCAAGACGTAGATGTGTGGTTAATATTAAAATGGATCTTAGATAGAATTGGGTGGTATGGCTGGATCGATCTGGGTCATGATAGAGGCAAGTAGAGGACTCTTGTTAACGCGGTAATGAACCTTCGGGTTCCATAAGTTGCTGAGTAGTTCCTGAGTAGCTGCACAATTGGCGGTTTCTGAAGAAGGCCTCAGCTCCATGCAATTAGTCGGTATATTGTGTATATAACGTCGAATGGTAAAATTATTGAATTGGAAAATATTTGGAAAGGAGTGGTCTTGGCCTGTCTGAGGAAAGCCACGAAGATCTCTCTGGATAGCGGATATTCCTGAGGCCTTCGAATCGTCACGGAGTGTATTAAGTTGGGTCGTAACTTTGTCTTAGTTTGTAGACCATTACGAGTTATTACAGAATGGTGATTTATTAAACCGAATGATCATTCTTCTGCTGTGATTGCATCGACGCCGTCTGAGATCTGAAATTCAAGCAAATTTGAAACTATTTTTATGACGTCCCAAGGAAATTCACTATCATTTTGTACAGAATCTCTTCCAGGTAGCTAGTAAATAGCACAGGCATTCATAAGTACCTTTCTTGTTCAGACATCTGCAACATAATTGTGGGTTATGACGTTTCTGCTTCGTCTTTTTCTTCCGTCCCCTAAAAGGCAAGGATTATATTGAACTTCGTAGAATAGCCAAATATAAGAGGTTAGCCGCAGCTAAAATTGTTCGCCCTTGCCAATTATGATTATTATTATTATGTATTATAATCATTATAGTGCACACAGAAACGATTTTTAGAAAAAAAGGAAAACAATTGTAAGCATTCTTGTTGGATAATAATATAATTTCACGTAGGAAGGCGTCCAGAAATAAAAATGTTCCAGGTTTTGCTGCTCAGTCTCGTAAAACAATGGCATTACGTTTTTCCATTTCATCTGGCAAAATATATGGAGGCTTACAGTGCTGCAGAGGATAATTGTATCTGATGGCAGGTTTCAAAGGGGTTTAAGGGGGAGGAGGGATATTCACGTCTCCCGTTAATGGCCCTAGGATGGAGAACACTGTCTGAGTTTCTTTCTTTCTTCATCGTGTCTCACCGTTCTTTTTCATGTCTTTCTTTTACTATTGCTCGGTGGCCCGTGCTAGCCTGAATTGTAATTAATTCTAGGGTACATCAGAAAGTCTCGCTGGACATTTTAATTCTTATGTAAATGTCATAATGTTCCTCTGGGCCGATCACAGTGGCCCCGCGGTTTAAGGCATGAACTGTCTTCATTCGCTGGCTCGAACCCTCAGATCGTGGGTACGAATCCTACTTGAGGCATGGATGTCTGCGTGCGTTTGTTCTGTGTTTGCTTTGTCCTGTGTGTAGGTAGAGGCCTTGCGACGGGCTGATCCCCCATCCAAGGACTCCTGCGGACTGTGTATAGGATCAAGAAACTGAAAAGGTAGCCAAGGCCTAACAAAGGGCTGTAGACCAATAATAATAATATACTTCTGGATGTTTATTTGGAGACATAGGATTTATAAGCCTCATGACGAAATTTGGGATCTTTGTCCTGAGAATAGCATTACAGGTCTCAACAGAATCGTGGACGTTTGTATAGAGCAATGTGATCTGTTTGTCTCACAGCAACTTTCCGGATAATTATCAAAATACATAGGTTCATTTTAAACCCTAATTTATTTCCTACTAATTAATTTATAGGCTCTGTAACTTCATTAGCAGACCCAGGTATTGGTGGTGGGATAACATTAAAATGGATCTTAAGAAGGAGTGTGAAGTTGTATACTGGATGAATATCTTTTGCGATAAAGTCCAGTGGCGGCTCTAAAGGAACACAGTCTCTTAAGCTGAGCTACTATCAACTTCGCAAGGACTCGGCCACAAGGAGTTAGTTAATGTGTCCGAAGATAATTTGATAGATGTTTAGAAAACAAAAAACAGTGTGAAGTCATTAACAGCAATTTTCGGGATAAAAGACAACTTTAAACTTTTATGCAGTAAGTATCATGACACCCGTCTGCATTTCAGCGCGAAATTGCAAAAAGAAAACAGCAAAACTCAGATTTTGTCACGTTGATATAACGGCGTGTAAGCCGGTGGAAGTTCACTGACCTCTCGGAATAATATACTGCCTCCATCTTCAGGATAGAAGAGTAAGCCAAGCAAAGAAAAGAACGCAACCGTAGAAGTTTACCGATGTACACAGCAATATCGGGTGTCCAGATGAAAGATATCCAAATTAAACAAAATGTATATCTCGGAAAATAATTCTTATACACGGATTCGGTTAATGTCATCGGAAAGGAAAACCCTGTAAGTTTTTTCTCATGCCCGGCTTACGCGCATGCGCCGCCACATTTCTGCCACCATGTTAGGAATCATTTAGGCAGAGTGATGGCTGGGAGACAGATCTGGAGAAGTGGAGCAATCGCTTGGCCTCCTAGATAGCCAGATTTAACCCCACTGAATTGTTTTCTTGTGGGGTTATGTGAAGAACATTGTCTATCAGGTTAAGATCAACGACCTGCAACACCTGAAAGCCCGCATAAGCGACGCTGTGACTATGGTAACACCAAACATGCTGTATCCTCTGGATATTTGTCGTGCCACCAAGGGAGCCCACGTTGAAATTTATTGGAAAGTTATATACTCACAAAGAACATTGATAGTTTCCCTTTGTACTGGTGTAACCCATAAATGTGTATATTAAAAGCTTTCTGAGATATAATTATTTTATTTTGGATACCTTTCATCCGGACACCCTGTATTGTCATCACACTTGATCTGTTTTATGGTTATTTCTTGATGATCGCTCTCTTGGTTTGGGTCTAAACTTGTATCAGACTTCACGGCGTCACATCCCAGTCGGTGTGTTTCCAATGTTTTCTCCTTCTGTGCTGTTGCAGTGCTCTGGATAAGATCATTGTACATGGATACAAGGCCTTGCAGCTACAATATTTCTTCACTTCTGGGCCAGACGAAGTAAAGGCATGGACAATACAGGTAATGTACAATACTGTCACGTGATTGAGTGACTACAGACGGGGTTTGGATTGGTAATCTGATTTATTGAACTCAGAATATAACTACAAATATCTACGACAGTTTCACTGAGTTACACACTCCAATGATCACTGTAACTACAGCACACATAAAGTCTCAGTAATCCCCAGCCGTTGCTCGGTAGCGGCTTTCACCGGCGGGCTTTCCCCATACTCTGTGTTCCTGAACTGTCCCCGTACCTCGGCTTCTAACAGCAAAAAATCACAACGACAGAACTTACCAACTAACTCTACTCCACTGCACTATTTTACTGCACTAAACTGTCCTGCTTATAACATCTCGGCACGGACCTTGTACAAAACACCGCTTACAACGGTTCTTTCATTGTTGCTTGCGTACTAGCGATGGCTCTGCTACTGTTGCGTATTTACGAAAATGTTGCCTAGTAATTGCTCTTTTTTTCTTGTTTCTTATGCCACATGTTTTCATGTATTTGCCACATCTGCATTCCACTGACATACTCCGTCTGCTTTGGTAACGTGTCTACGTCATCATTAGAAAGTTAAAGAGATTCTGTTTTTAAACATAGGATGAGTACTCACGCCGAGACGTAATTCAAACGAACTTACACAGGACGTTTCTCCCGTAAGGTTGCCTATACAGGGTAGGTCGAGTAACTCACGCCGGGACGAAATTCATACGAACTTACACAGGACGTTTCTCCCGTAAGGTTGCCTATACAGGGTAGGTCGAGTAACTCACGCCGGGATGTAATTCAGACGAACTTACTCAGGACGTTTCTCCCGTAAGGTTGCCTATACAGGGTAGGTCGAGTAACTCACGCCGGGACGAAATTCAGACGAACTTACACAGGACGTTTCTCCCGTAAGGTTGCCTATACTTGGTTCGTGGAGTGGCTGGACTTTAGTATTAACATTGAAAAAGTGCAGGTATCAAGAAAGTGTTCTACATAAGCATTTTTTTTTTTCGTGAACAATAACGATAATCGACAACAGAGACTGTTATTTACCTGCAGTCAGTGCTTACATCGCTATATCGGCTTGCCGTGTTTCCACATTCTCACGCAGCACAGTTACAGTTTTTGATATAGAAATATTTGATTATAAATGTAAGAGGTAATTTTGTTCCAATGCCGATTACGGTAGCCGCACGGTCTAAGACATAAACTGTCATCGCTCACTGGAACTCTGGGATCGCGGATTCGAATCCCACTCGAGGCATGGGTGTCTCTATTCGTTTATTCTGTGTTTCGTTGGCCTGTGTGTAGGTTGTGGCCTTGCGTCCGGCAGATCACTCGTCCAAGGAGTCCTACCGTCTGTAAACAAGATTACGAACTGAAGGAGAGGCTAGGGCCCTACAGAGGACTGTAGAGCCATTAGTTACTATAGGATTCTGACGATGGTGTATAACACACTGATATATTGGGTTTTTGGACTTCATCCATCGTCCTGGTTTTTAAGATAACTAATAAAAACACAACGTTTGTCCAGTGTTGTCCAGTGATTGAGGCTAGCTCTTTCTAACGGACCCAACAGAATAGGTGTTTTCCTTCACCTGAGGATGGAAACAGATCCAGTTTCCGAAACGTCGTGTTTTTATTAGTTATCTTAAAAACCGGGACGATGGATGACGTCCAAAAACCCAATATATCAGTGTGTAAAGCCATTGTTGGACGAATGAATAGAATTTGTTCCTGTACTTAACTAATTAAACAGTACTCCATAACGTGTTGGGAAGTGGAGTTATAGATCCACTATTCTTGAACTCTACATTTGATGGAGATGAGTGGTCAGCTTCACGCCCCTGCCGCTTTATCCTCGGGGGAAACAGCCTCCGATTTCCATTACTCGTATGTAGGAGGTTGTGCTTAATTAGTGAAGCACAGAGGAAATTTTACCTTTACCTTACTTATTGGACAGGCTGGGTTGGTACTAGAGACGGTCTGGACGCTGTGGAGAAAAGAAAAGTCCCTACCCCTGCAAGGAATCAAACTCTGATCTACTGGTCGTGCAGCCAGTCGCATAGATACTGAAATGAATGAGCTGTTCTGGCGCAAATAAACAATGTGGCTAAATAAATGAATGTTATTTTCAAGGGAGACAGAATATCGGCGCCTCTACGATCCAGTAAAGTATGTGGTCACGAAAGTTGCGGGCCTGCCGGAGCAATTTAAGGTCGGAACTAAAGTGGTGATGGTACATGCGGTTTTTTTTGGGGGGGGGCTGGAGAGTGCTCTGCGATTCGCGGCTTACCAAACCTATTGCCCTGAAAGAGAATGCCCGGTAACGATTTTGGAAGCATGTAGTTTAATAGCAATCATTTATCAGAGCAAGTCCTGTAGATTAAACTTAAACCCCCTATAATTCATGAATATGATCGAAACCAAATCTTTATAATATGAACTGAAATGGCCCTAACTTACTAAGTACTGCGCCCATGGAAGAGGCGGAGCAGACAAAAGCATAAGGCAATATTATAATTCTGGAACTTCCCAAAATTTACCAGACTACACCCACACTGCTCTCTCTGTAAAACTAAGCTTTAGGGGGCCACTTAACATTCCTGAGGTACGTCCCCGAAATGCCCTCAAGCGACGACGAGGGGCTGGCAGCACGTGCAATTTTAACCCCTCTCCCCATAATCAAAAATCTTCTTTTTCCAAATTAAAAGTGGTCTCGTTTGTAGAGAGAGGCTGAAAGTCGTGCCCCGCTTTCTGGGACTGCGTACGGACGCCTATTCTCATGCAAATGATAGAGCTGGAGACAGATGGGCCAATTTTGATGCTGCATGCGAACGAACCAAGTAAACGACTGGGCTTTCATTTTCCGAGGCAACGGGCTGGGAATAGTACGACCAGTATTTCAGAGTCTGCTGCGACAAAGTGGAAAGGACAAGTTGATAATAAAAATAACAGATTAGCAGGAATTTGCTAAGGATGAAACTCCCCCTTATACACAAGAAAAATACAAATTTATATATAAAAAGACCGTAACTCTTGACAGCACATCCGTTTTTACCATCATTTCTATTGATAATTGTTCGACTTATGGTGGGGAATCTTTGAATATATGGTGGAACGATGCATTGCTCCCCCAAGGGAAGCATACGGAATTTAGATCAACGAGAATCCAGTTTTGGGAGAATGAATAGGGCTAATAAATACAGGGTGATTAAAAAATGTCATGGGGAAGTGAATCATAGATATTGACAATGACTGTGAAGTTGAGTTTATAGGATGTTATCTGTATGCCACAGCAGAGACTGTATGAATCACTGTTTGTGTGAGAAGAATATTCAGTGCCCAATTCTCGTATTAGTCTTAACATTTTGTTGGATCACCCTGTATATACGCCTCTTCTCAACAGAAAACATTTCATATACAACAGAGTTCAGGATGGATCAGACGAAGCAGCGTCATATCAGTTGTAATTTCAAGACTGAACCAGTGTTGTAAACTGGGGGATGTCTGCCATGTTCGCAGTGTGCCCCAGTAATGCACTTGGGGTCGTGGAGGAAAGCATCCATATATCTTGAAATCGTTATGGCTCTTTTATGTTCCTCTAGTACCAATCTGGTCACGGGGAAATCAAGTAGTCTCCATCCGAATTTGTATTTACTTGTTTTTGTGTTTATTTAACACCATCTTCATGAAGCAGATTAGCATAGCGGTAACTTGTATACAGGAGGTTCTCAGTTTTAATCCGCTGGAACAGTGACAATCCTGACTGAGCGTGAATTTCCTCAGCCCCGCCATATAAATTACGGGATACTCGAAGGGTACTGAGGCTGTTTCCACGTGGGTAGAGCGGCAGGGGCGCAAAGCTGACCACTCACCTTCATCTGTAGTCCATTCGCGGAGACAAGAGAGTCCTCGTAAACAAATGCACGCGGTATCTCCTTCGCTCTATGAATGAAATCATGCAGCGATCACGTGATGCGTGTATCATTGCAAGGGCGTCCAAAGTTCACTCTTCAGTCTGAATGCAGGTTAACGTGCGTCCGAATGCAGTGAGTACACTGAAGTAACCGCGCGCTTTGTCCACTCCTTGCTGTCAGCTGTGGCGACGTGGGGCTTGCTGTGTTTACGCTAACTGTCTCGTCTCCGCGAATGGACTATAGTGCCGAGGTTAAGAATAGTGGAACTATACCACCACTTCCCCAGCCGTCTTCATGGAGTGGTATCTAATTAATGCAGCCAAGAGATAGCCTTGCCTTTATTAGGCCACAACCACTTCCTCCAAATCCTGTACAGGCGTAGTATAGATACTGACAGCATCGGCAGGTCATCCGCAGGAAGTAAACAGGTGCTTACATATACAGCAAACCCTCGCTAATCCGGATCGAAATATTAAAAATTCAAAATACTGTTCACAGTTGAGTAAGTAAGCTATCCCTGTAACAGACCGTGAAGGCCCATAGGGTTGTGAGACGTCGAGGCTCCCACGTTATATAGACAATCGGCTCAAAGATGGCGGTAAGGTTGTTACGCGCCGGCCGCGCTTTACTGCCCAGGAAAATTATTTAATGAATTCCTGTTACTCATTTCTGTTAGAGGCTGAATCGACCCCAGGGCCATATGCGGCTGGAAGGTTTAGGTCAATTGAAAAAATCCAATGACCTCATCGGGACTTGAACCCGCGACCTTCCGGCTTGTAGCATAGTGCCTCAACCAACTACGCTACCGCGTGCTCCCTGACAGTCGAGTACATACATTAATAAAAGACAGATGATATTTAGAAAGGCAGAGGAGTCGCGTATCTCTTCAGACAACTTTTGGCATTTTCTTCTAATCTGCATTATTACGTTCAAAACAAGTACAACTTCTGAGTCTTCTGTAGATGAATAAATTTACTGTCTTTTTTGTAGTTCTTAACTGAAGGCGCTACAGTGATATATTTTTATTTATTGTCATCAGCACTACTTATAGCATTCAATTTTCCATTTATTTGTGTTCTAAGGATTTTTTTTTTCCCTTTTGGGGGTACTTTCTCTACATTAGCCCAGATGACCTCTCCCTCCCCCCAATTACTCCGAATTAGCGAGGGTTTACTGTACATAATACGTCCGAGTCTGTGTAACGTCGCAGTTGATAAAGCATCTTAAAATAGTAAATACATGAAAAAGGCAGATCTAATTAATTCCTTTGTTATATTGGATCTGAGGTTTTCACAGCCGTGAAAGCGAAGAATACTGTCTTCTGTGACGTCACGGCATTTAATACAGTAGATATTCGCCGACGTTTCGGAGGAACATATATCTCCATCTTCTGAGTCATTTCAGCTTGTTGCTTGCTTCTTGCGCGTTGCTGGTTTCGCATATCTTCGACCCTGAAGATGGAGACGTTCATGAGTTTCTACCGGACTACCCGGCGTCACATCCCAGAAGCTAATACTAATAAATCAATTGTCTACTGCGCTTCTCACCCAGACGCCCTCTACGGCTTTAATTTTATATACGGCCCGGGAGGGCTGAGGAAAACTTCGAGAAATCTCGGCCAATCTCAGTCGAGATTGGAACCGGTAGCTACGAAATACGAAGCAGGTGTACGTCGTGTTGTAAATCCCTAGATAGTTACCAGCGGTTCGAAGGAACCTCTGCTTCCGTCTTCAGGTTACAACTAGCGTGAAGAAAATGGTACACTTTTTTACGGCTATTTGTTCTCTCGAGGCCATGGTTCCTCCTTTCTCTATATCCGTCAGTTCTTCCCACGCCTTCTTACTCTTCTGCCCTCAACATGGAAGCAGAAGGTTGATCCGAAACGTCCGTAACGCTCAATAACATTACACGATGTTACAGCACTTGCCAATATGCCATATTTTTACATAATATGTTTTATCTTCACGTAACACATCATTGGCACGGAGTTATGGTAGTTGGGTTATAGTTTGGTCGTGGTCGTGAACCCAAGTGGCGTTAATGTCACGAAGAGTGATCCTCCATCGTCCCTTAGGACCTCCCACAGAAACCACCTGCAAACAGGCCATGACGTCAACAAGGTCGGAGGACTACAAACGTCACTGTTGTGCCATCTATGGGAGAGAGATCCAACTTCATAGAAACAGTGGAAGTAAAACAGTGTGCTGCATTATCGTTTTATTCCCAACTGCAAATTCTGTCAACCGCGATCGCGTTAGGTAACTACACTGCACTACTGAACTGAGTGATGAAGTTCTTAATTAATCACCACTCTATAAGGACGTATGGTGGAGTTGAAATATAGTTCCACGCATTCATAGCCTCAGCACAGCGAATTGGCTCAAGCGGCGACGTTTAAGATTTGTTTCCGGGAAGCTGTCGGTTCGAATCTCGGCCGATACGCCTGCGCCAGGCTAATACTCCGATTCAGCAGCACAGATCCTTTACTATACTTGTATCACCCTACCATCTGACGCTGTGTAGTCTAGCTACTGATAGACGTCGTTAAATAAAACACAAAAGCCCATGCAGTTTTAGCCTCAACACTGTAAGAGGGGGGAGTAGTCAGCGTCATGCCCCCCCTCCCCAGTATCCACTGTATAGGAGGCTCTGTGGGCCCCGTAATCTGTGTTGTCGTGAAGAAGAGAGAAATTTCTTGCCCCTGTTGGGGAATCGAACTCGTTACCCAGTCGGCTAGGCTGTGCCATAGTCACCATAGTAACTTCAGTGTGGTGTTTGAATATCTGTCTACCCAGGAAACAATATCACTTAAACCTCATACAGACTGGTCATATAGGGCGAATTTTGAGATCTGAACTGAAAGGGTTGGGGTTGTACGTTGTCACATGTGAAGCAGTGTGGTATGGTAGAAATTAATAGCATTTCAGAGAAATGTACTTCATGGAGCTGAGCCCTCCTTGAGAAGACGCCAGTTATGCAGCCACTCAAGAACTTCACAGCAATTCATGGAACCCGAAGGTTCATTATCATGTTCACAAGAGCCCTCCACTGGTCCCTATCCTGAGCCAGATCGATCTAATCCATACCACTCCATCCTATCTCTCTAAGATCCATTTTAATATTGTTGCACCCTTGTCTTGGTCATCCTACTGGTTTATTTCCATTCGGTTTTCCCACCAATGTCCTATATGCAATCCTCTCCAATTTGTGCTATATGCCCTGCCCACCTCATCCTCCTTGACTTGATCATTCTAACTGTACTTGGAGAAGAGTACAAGTTACGAAGCTCCTTATTATGCAGTTTTCTCCAACCTCCTATCACTTTATGTAACTGTTCAGTCCAAATATTCTCCTAAGCACCCTCTTCTCAAACACCCTCCATCCGAGAAGGCTCTAATATTATTTACTGTTGGATTATTTAACAGTACAGTCAGTATCTCGGATTGCAAGCTGTTGTTAATGTCATTTGACGTACTGTCCGAGAATTTGTTTGGATGGATGTATGAAAACCACAGAAAACATCAGGACACATGTTCTCCTGTCCAAGATTTCAACCTAGAACTGCCCTAAACTCCCGACTGTAATTCTCAGTTATTTGACCTGTCTTGAGGACACTTAGTGGTGGGTCTTGTTTCAGAAAGGTACTAAGGCTCCTCAAGCTGCTGGAAGGATTCATACAGATATGGAGAAGGGCTTCATAATGGCAGAGGTGATGAAGTTTGAGGACTTCAAAGAAGAAGGATCAGAGACAGCTGTCAAAGTAAGTAGCCACGCAGAGCATAGACCTGTTGCATGGTGCTTTCAGACACAGGTACAGAGCTGACATTTGTCTTCATGTTCCTCTCAGTCTCTTCTCATCTTCCTTCCATTCTCTTCTTACCTCTTCCCTTCCTTATCACTTCCTCTACCTTTTCCACATTTAAATGCTAAAAGGTAAAGCTATCCCTGTAACAGGCTGTGGAGGCCCATAGGGTTGTGAGATGTCAAGGTTCCCACATCTTTTGGACAATCAGCTCACAGATGATGGTGAGGTTGTGAGCCTTACGTGCTGGCCACCCTTTACACCCAGGAAGATTCCTGATACTCCTTTTGTTTAGAGGCTGAGTCGATCTCAGGGCCATAGTGCTCCTGGGAGGATTTGATCAATCAAAAAATTCATGATGTCATCGCGAATCAAACCCACAGCCTTCCAACTTGTAGCGTAGTGTCTTAACCAACTACGCTGCCACATGTCTCCTTCACATTTCCCCATGTTTTCTTCTTTCTTCCATGAACCACACAGCTCTGAGTCTGAAAGGGTTAAAGCTTCAGTCTGTAACAGGTGGAAAAATTACCATTTCCAGTGACTTTCTTCATTCCTTGTTTCCTCTTAATGACTAGGTTCCTGTTACTAAATGTCACTACTGTTTTCTTGTCACCAGAATGCAGGACAACGTTGCAATATAAAGATACATATCTAACAGATCCTTTCAAACAGTAGCACAGTTCAAATATTTGGGAACAGTGCCAATAATCAAAATTTCATTCGTGAAAAAATTAAGAGAACGTTAAATTCAGGAAATGCTTGCTATCATTCAGTTCATAATATTTGTGTCATCCTATCTGGTATCTAAAAATGCCACAATTAAAACATACAACATCGTAAGTTTGCCTGTTCTTTTGTATGGATGTCAGACTTGTGTTCTCACATCAAGGCAAGAACAGGTGCTAAGGGGAATAATATAATGGGAGGCTAGAGAAAACAATGTAATTAGGAGGTTGATAATTTGTCACCCTCACCAAATATAATTACAATGATCAGTCACTGCTGGAGGTGAGTGGTCAGTCTCTCTCCCCAGCACTTTCCCCACAGAATAAGTGGCCATGAGACCTACGAGACGGGTGACTCAGTGGACCTCACATCCGGTCTGGATGCTGTGTAGAAAAGAAAAATCTCATTTTATCAGAAATCAAACTCAGATTCCCAGGGTGATTCTCCTCCTCCTCCTACTCATTCTTCTCCTTCTTCTTCCTCCTCCTCTTCTTCTTCTTCTTCTTCTTCTTCTTTTGTGGTGAGACTCCACTCAGTACATTGGCCACTATTTGGCCTATTGTACCAGCCCTGGATGATAGGTCCTGAGAGTGGGGCAGTTAGTGAAATGAAAATTGGCAGGGCAAACTGAAGTACTCAGAAGAAAGATACTCCATTGCCACTTTGGCCACCACAAATCACACATAACCTGACCGGGGATGAAACCCAGGCCACCATGGTGAACTATAATAATCTGTATATGATTTCAGGCTGCAGGGAAATACCGACAGCAAGGTCGAAACTACACTGTTGAGGACGGGGACATCATATTCTTCAAGTTTAATGCTGGGGCAGGACTTAAGGATGCAAAGAAGAAGTGATGGCAAGCGGTGATGCTGGTGATGCTGGTGCATCTTTATGTGAATCTTGTCCTCTTCTCCTACTGCAGCACAGAGCTGTAAACAAGGACGATTTGGCCCACCCTTCACAATTGCCAAAACAGTTCCCATTCACAAGAAACAGGAAAATCTCTCTTTAGATGCTACATGTAAGCTTATATATGTACATGGCTCTCTTATGTACACTTCCAGTTCTAAAATATATATTTCTTGTTAATGGGACAGTGTTTTGTGATTCTCTATAAGGCCTTCGCCATAGAGTTCTGAATTACAAATGCAAAAATTGTATAAATTGTCAGGTTTTTATGGTTTTTAATGTTCAGATTGTGATCTTCTGTGTTGTGTCACTGTGTTGTGTTCCTGTGCATGGAACATGCTGCCTCCATCTTCAGGGTTTAAGCTATGAAAAACTGCTCTTTATCAGGAGGGTAGTCCTACAAATAAAACTGTCTGGGTGATGCAATATACAGTTCCATATTGCAAGATGTATATAAATCATGATATGAAGCCATCCTCAGTTTGAACTTCTCACACACAGAACTGAATGATGTACAGTTCGTGAAATGCACATAAAGAGACATGCTTCTGATTAGAACATTAAGATCAGAAATTAAGTAAGCTATAATTGTTTGATGTCACTCTTCTTAAAGTATTGTCACATGTATGAGTGACTCTTGGGTTGGATGTTGGTAGACTGCCTCTGTGGTCTAGTGGTCAGAGTTCCTGGTTGCAGATCCAGAGGTTCCGGGTTCGATTCCCGTCGCTACCAGAATTTCTGAGAAGTAGTGGGTCTGGAACAAGGTCCACTCAGCCTCATTAGGATAATTGAGGAGCTATTTCAAGGAAATACCGATTCCGGTCTAGAAAAGCGAAATTAATGGCCATGGGGATTCGTTGCACTGACCACGCAACACTCGCTGTCCACTAAAGTTGGCACTAACTTCGCCGACAAGCGGCATGTTATGAAACAAAACCTCAAAGAGTATTCTTTTGCGACGTCAATTTATTACTCAACGCCATAACTACAGTTAAATGTAACTATAACACAAAATGTTGAACAAGTCGTTTCACAGTCGATTCTTTCATATTAACAACTCTCACTAGACTGTAGAACTGCTCTGCTCTCCATACGGCTTCCACTGGCTTCTCTCAACACACACTGCCACGCTCGGTCCTCAACTGACTTCTTATACTGTTGCCTGCTGCAATAGCAGCGGCAGCAGCGTCCGCTGTCATGTCACAGTGGGGAAGTGTTGCCTAACACAGCTTCTCTGCTGTTGCGTCACCATGGAAAAATGTTTACTGTCAACACGTGTGTTATCTCGTCACACTGAGTCCACGATTCCCAACACAGCAGTTGCTCGGTCGATATAGTTCGCTTGCAAACTAGAACCACGGAGTTGGATTTATTAACCAGTTATACACTCACGACTCATGACTATATTTTACAGTTCATTAGAGCACACGCTCAGTCTTTCCTAGTCCTCAGTATCTTCACTAGTATAGTTACCTGGTAACAGCTCCTAACAATGGCTATTCCTCGGTTTCCAGGATCATGTCCTGTCTGAACAGTGGCTCCCTTCAAACTGAACTATTCCTGCTTCACTTGTCCTCCTTATAATCCCTTCGCACTGGTGGTGTACTTCAAATTAAGCCACGGTCACTTCCTTCCACATCCTTTTCCATTCATTATTCATCCTACCATTTGACGCTATAGGAGTCTCAGTTCTGAAAATGTCATAAAATAACCTACTAAAAAGAAAGAACTGAAACATAATGATATCAACTGTTTTTCACATGTTCTCACCTGTTTCAGTTTCAAATGCAGTCAGTTAAAAATTCAGTTTTAATGAAAAAATGGCTGTCCCAGGAAGTAAGTTCCCAGTATGGGGTTAAATTAAAGGTAAATCTATCCCTGTAATAGGCCTTGGAGGCCCATAGGGTTCTGACACGTCAAGGCTCCCACATTTTCTATGCAGTTGGCTGATAGATGACAGTGATATTGTTAGCCTTACGCTCCAACCGCTCTTTAACCCCAGGAAGATTCCTGGTACTCATTTTTGTTAGAGGCTGAGTTGACCCCAGGGCCATAGTGCAGCTGGAAGAAATAGGTCAATTGAGAAATCCAATGACCTGATTGGGAATCAAACCTGAGACCTTTCCGCTTGTAGCATAATGTCTCCACCACCTACACTACCATGTTCCTCCCACCCCAATATGAGGGTATGGCATTAATGTGCTGAGCATGATACAGTGATCCAGGTTCATGCTGTACTCTACCACTGCTGCTATGTTATTTGTATTCATTCATGTTTGAATGTCTGGTTTGTTCAGTGTACACATTCAGACATTCAATGCAGATGCTATATATTCTCTGAGTATGGAAATGACAGGTTCCTCTAAACCCATGTGAAGACGGGATCAAATACTTCCACCGTGACCCTGTGAGTCATATGAGGCAACAAAAAGGGAAGTCTCAAATCTGAGACAGTACAATATGGTCACGAGTCTCAAGGGACTAGGACCTGAGAAAGACTGCTCTGGCAAAGACAGGTTCCTGTAGAATTTTGGTATTCACCTATAGAACTTCACTGTATACCAATCCAGAAGATCAAGTTAGAAAAACTGTGCATTTAATATTTGGTCATGTCACAAGTATGGTTCAGTGATATGTTTGCTATGTTATAAACCATTTCGGTTGTAGAATTTGAAATTCTATATGTATATCCTGGCGAAGCATTGTGCCAGTCTGGAATGTTGGTCATGGGATCAGATGTTCTGAAGAGTACACTACTTCCTGATCAGAACGTTCTGATTTAAACATAGAATTGCTTTGCTTAGAGGCATTATAAGACCATTATTCTTATCCACTTCTCAAAATTGTTGTAACATTATAAGTTATGCTCATGCTTTTGCCCTGCAGTTACTCTCTAATTTGGGACTCCATGCTTCACCAAAGAGAAGCCATGTTGAACTGGCTGTGAAAATGTCTGTACATGGATAATAAAAATTTTATCATCCTTGGTGGTTCTAAATTTCACAATGAATGTACTTCACTTTACTGGGTTGTAGCATACATAGCAGGCTGCAACTTAACTGACTGCTTAATTAATTTATACCTTAATCTCTTTCTGTTATTTATGTGTAAGTTTATATCTTTTAACTAATTGCTTTTACATGTTATACTAAACAGTATTGTAACATTTAGTTTAAGGTCTTTCATTCTGGTCCGTCACACTAACCAATTAACAATCAAGTTCCTTCCGTCAAATGTGACACTTTTTTAAGTTTTCCACCTCGTCACCACCTGCCTTACATGTTTCGGCTCACCACGGAGCCATCATCAGAGGCATTTATAGTAGAAAAAGAATCACCAACACACAAAACTTCATTTTGTCCAAGATAGCCACGTTCCAGTTCATTAAAATAATTACAAATAGTTAAAATTACCCAGAGTGTCGGTTCACTAAAAGTTTTTCACACACCACAGTAGCTTTCTTATTTGATTCGTCGTTAATTCTGTAAAATATGTTTCGTTATTTGAAGTAAGAATTCTTAAAATCCCTAGAATTCTTTCCCGCTTGGCCCAATCTTTTTGCTTCGGGATGTTGTTGACGTGTGTTGTCTGTAAATAAAAATTGTGGTTTTATTTAGATTGTATTATATAAGTTTTTATGTGTATATACTTTTAAGGTTCAATAACCTTACCTGTCGGTAGTTGATGTTGCTTGTCTGTGTGTTGTGATGCTTGTGTGCTTAAGGAGTGCTGTGTCGTGTGGTTTATGTATCCTGTGTTTGTGACGTCAGTGTGGGGGTGTACGAATCCTGTATTATGAGTTCGAAGAGGTTTTTTTGATTGTTGGTTTCTTTTATCNTCATTTTTACTTTTATACGGTGGCTAACACTTGTGTTTCTGAAATATTCAGTTTTCCTGCAGGTGGAATTGTATTGTCCTTTCTCTGCTAGCACCATCCTTGTCTGAATGTTCACCAGTAAGGAAGTTGAAATCGACCAACGATGAAACTGATACATCAACATTACTTTAGTACTGACTTTAGGCTATCACAGTGGTTCATTGTTGATGGGGCCGTTGGGTCTGTAGTCTGTGTGGATATGGGGAGTGTTGCCATCATTTCAGAAATACATGCTGAGTGTTTCGTGTCTCACATTACTCACTTTGATCCTGAAGATAGAGGCAGCATGTACCTGCAAAACGTCACCGACACTGGCCGCATCCACAGAGGACAAGGAAGACCCAGACGGAAAGTCAGTACTTCTATAGTAGCATGCAGCAGTGAGAAGAATATTAATGCAGTGATATTCTTGCCAAAATAGATACCAGGTAAGATGATTAATGAAAAATACAAAACTTTAAAACCCAATGTAAGCAGTCCTCATATTTAAAATTCCCTTTTTCACTGCATCACAGTTGACCTTGTGTGGATCTCCTCTTTACATTAAATCATATGCTGTGAACTGCAGCATCACATGTGCCTAAGAAATCAAATATTGCTTCTGGGTAGTTGTGCTTCTCATAATGGATTCTGTTCCCATGGATTTAGTTATAGATATTTATTACTTTTATCGTCCTTTATGCACCTTCCCAAATTGTTTGCTGATCATTGCACTAGACCATAATTTTTTTACCTCTTTTTTCTGTTTATATATCTCCTCTGATCTCAGAGCAAGACTTCTTATAACCATTTTGTAGGCAAATAGTATTTTATGTGAAAGTACGTTCTATAATGCATCATGGACATAAGACCCAGAGACTCTTTCATTTGAAGCAGACTGTATTTACTCATTGCACAGAGAAAATTGTACAGAAGAAAGGTCAGAAGGCATGAAGGTTACTGTCTTCTGTTACCCACCCCATGTGGTCTGGCAAGGGAAGATGCAGCCCCCATCTTGAGGGTAGAGGAGGAAGTGATGCTGGACAAAACAGGTATTGATATAATGATACCAGGGAGGAAGGACAATCCCTGTGGCTAAGAGCAAACCAATTAGAGCGGTGTAAAATGAATAGGGTTCTGGGGTCCTGAAGAGGCTACCAAGTAGTGTGGTCTAGGGTTAAAACAGTAACCTTGCAGTAAGGATGTGCTTAGTTCAGATCATGACAGGGATGCCCATTTTGTTCTTCCCCAGTCCAACCCGGCCAGTGTTAGGATAATACCTCACTTAGGCCAAAAGCACATCCTTCCATATCCTTTCAAAATCACTGTTCATGCCATTCTACTATTTGACACTGTATGGTATACATGCTGATGGAATCTTAAAATAACCATGAACAGATATAGAAATTGGTGCAGAGACATTGCACAGACTTTGTCAAATAAGATTGACCTTGAGTGTTCTACCTTAGAAACATAATCTGTTGTTCGTCTGTAGATTGTTGTCAAATGCTGAAAACCAGGCAGCACTGAAATGTGTTGTACTGGTGAAGAAAATTAACATCTCATGTTTGGGCATACTGTTACGAAAAGCTATTTCCACCCCTGCTGAGAAGGCTTTATCTGGTGGTAGCACTGTCAATGAGGTGTCACGTCACCGTATTGTTGCAGGAGGCGAGCTCGTAGCCAATGATAAAACTTGTGTTCTGCCTCTAGGGCCTTCTCAAGGTATTTACGGGTGGCACGGCTGACATGTTGGCGTCTCCTGTTACTGTTGTGGTGAGGTTCTGAAACAAATAGCCGTAAAAGTTATTAGTACTAATACTGAGGTCCACTGTCTATGACATTTGAAATTTTTATGGGTTCCAGCCACATGAAACCTGCAGAATTGTGCATTTATCAGACTGGAGGTCATTGTATGAATTTACTTGTCAAAATTCATTGTCCTGTATATATAAGAGTTGTTGCCATTACACAGTTTCAGGTTACCATAGCAACAAATCATTCAGTTAGTAAGTTATGTAGTAGATCACGCACAAGCAGTCACCCTCTTGTTTTAGCTTTTCATGTCTATTTTGTATACTGTATGGCAGAGAAAATTTATGACTGACTATTTGTGGGTGTTATTCATGAGAGATGATGTCAGCCTCAAGGCATCATTCAGTAACGTAGGACTGGAAAGAAATAGGGCATAAAGTAGGGGAAGTTAGTAGTACAAGACTTACATAACAAGTAATGAGACTTCCTGCTGCACTAATTTCCTGCTATATAAAACATTATGATCTTCTGGCATGTGACGCCATGCTGTTTGGTAGATGGGTACAAATGTTTCTGTGAAACCAACAGGCTCCATCCGCAGGACAGAAAACACTTCTGCCTTTATGATGGAGGCTGCATGTTTTTTTCTGAAATGTTGATACTTATCTACCAAACTACACAGCGTCACGTGGAAGAAAACATATCTTAATATTTACTGCTGTAAGGACTTCAAATGTCAGAGACCTACAACTGAAGTCTTTTTACCAGTTTTCTTTGACCATAGGTATCAGTACAACATCTTACCCATTAAATCTTGAAAGTAAGTTTTCTGGAGGCCTCGAAAGAAGTAAGGAAGACGATTTTCCAGTACTGCCAATGTGACATTCAGTTCCTCCAGAATACCAACCACTGGGAAATAACGCTCCACATTTGCCTTGGCCCTCTCCAGGGCTTGCTGGTTGTTCAGTTCCCTGAAATGTTTTGTACAGGTACAAGAATTTTGCTGTCATGGAGATAAAGGGGGGGGGGGAGATATTCACTAAATGAGGCACAGAAGTAGTGGCTATTCTGATTGCATGATATCACATAAATTGAATTTCTGTTTTAATACCCATTTTTATCAACGTGAAATGTTAGTGAACAGTGACAACTTTGGATAGGATTTCTCTACTATTAACCCTTCCAGTCAGGCATTTCTTATAAGAATCATAATTTACATTAATGTCTAGGCTATTTACAAATTCTGTTATGACATGTGAATTATGTGGATAGGAATATTAGAAACATAATAGTGTGTGTGTGTGTGTACTGAAAGACTGTGTTGGAGGCAATATCCATAGGCCATGCCATAGTGAGCAGACACACTGGTTTATAGTGTGTGTTTGGATGGTGTTTTCTAAATGCATTCTCCCTTATTTCCCTTCACCTATTTGATTGTTACCTTCATTGTTTCCCCCTTGGTCCTGCTCTTAAATGGCCATTATCTAGGACTCTGTTCCCTCATTCTGTAGCCCACTCCTGCCGTTCCAGCTCTGGGGGGTACACATGAGAATTCCTTAAAGGGAGAACTTTAGTACATTTCATATCATTGCAGCCTAAACTGGGATGTGATATTTGGATGGAATTAACAGAGATCAGCAGAGATGCCTGAAATCCTTGCCAGGACAAAATGATGCAGAGGGCTTCCTTTGGACACTCTCTACAAAAAGAACAAGTGAACTAACTAACTTCATTGAGCTGAGCCCTTTTTGAGAAGCTGCCAGTTGTGCAACTACTCAAGAACTTCCCAACCTTTAATGGGACCCACAAGTTCATTACAATGTTCACAAGAGCCCTACACTGGTCCCCATCCTGAGCCAGATCAATCCAGTCCGTACCACCCCATCCTATCTCTCTAAGATTAGTTTTAACATTACCCACCCATATACATCTTGGTATTCTAGTGGTCTCTTTCCTTCTGGTTTTCCCACAAATGTCCTATATGTATTCATCTTCTCCCCATTCGTGCTATGTGCTCTGCCCATCTCATCCTTGATTTGATCATTCAAATTATATTTGGAGAAGAGTACAAGTTATGAAGCTCCTCATTATGCAGTTTTCTCCAACCTCCTGTCACTTCATCTCTCTTTGACCTAAATATTCTCCTCAACACCCTGTTCTCAAAAGAAAAAAACCCTCAGTCTATGTTCCTTGCTTAACTCTTTGACTGGCGCGAAAGGTATTTAAATCCCACCCCTGTCCTGGCAGGCCCTTTATACCTTATGTCGCTATAATGTACGTAGTTACTTTTTCCTAAACAACTTCAACAAAAATTGGTTTTTAAAAACGAAATTTTCAGGAACTAATTAAAATACAATATTTTATGCAATAAATGCCTTTCCATGCCTCTTTATTAGTTTTTCTTCGTCTGATAAATATTGAAACATGAAAGTTTGCAGAGAGCCACACCACAGCCTGCACACATGATACTTGTTTCTTTTCTAATCTTGTGCTTAGCACTCACGC